GAGAAGCCGTAGTGGACGACTCCGAAAATTTTGACTACTTGGGCTTCTTTAACATGCACCCAAATCTGAGCACACGGGCCTGCAGCATTTTCGCGTTTATCGAAAATGCAGCTGCCGCTGCCGGGATTCAATCCCACGACCTGCTGGTCAGAAACCGAGTACTTTAGCCACTAGACCACTGTGGTGGGGCGACAGCGGTATACATTCGTAACATGGCATTAACGGAAGAGCCACCAGCATCACCTGATAACAAGCAAAATATGCTCGCGTATGACGCAACTTTTTGCTTTGTTATCCGAACGTGGGGAGTGTACATCATTAGCCGGTCGATTGTCACTCCCAGAAACTTATTCTTTGTCACGTACCGAATGGGAGAATGTGCTACCTTTAGGGAGAATGTGCTACCTTTAATGTGTAGCGTAAGACATCACGCCTCATAAAAGCAATGGCGGCACACTTTTCCGGTGACATTGTTAAACCTTCTTCGAGTAAGAATTTTTCAATTGAGTTGAAAGCTTTCCGCAATCTTGCTCGTATAAACGTCTGTTGCGACTACTGCTCCATATACGAATGTAATCTGCGTAAAGTGAGACTTCTACAGATGCAGGGATGCACATCTCTGCTCTGATGAGAGAGATGTTGAATAAGGTTAGACTGAGAACACTACCCTGGGGAACTCTTTGATGCACTGTATGTGGAGCTGTGTCACCTTCTCTTCTAGACATGTAGTCTGTCCTGTCGCTGAGGTAGTCCAAGATCTAGTAAAACATACGATCTGCTAAACCTAATGACTTCAGGGAGTGTAGGATAGACTCACGAGTCACGTTATCGAACGCTCCCTTGATGTCGAAGAATACGCTGATAGTGATGTTGCCGGTTGCTTTGTTCAACTTTACGCAGTTGATGAGATTGACTACATTGTCAATGCTGCTGCGACCTTTTCTAAGCCCAGACATTTGTTGAGGGTATGCATTCTTGTTCATAAGCAACCACTCCAGGCGGATTGACACCATCTTCTCCATGAGCTTTCCTACGCAGCTGAGAAGAGCAATCGGGTGATAGGAGTTGAGTTCCGTGGGAGGCTTTCCAGGCTTCTGAGTAAGAATAACACGAGCTCGTTTCAAGACGGCCACTCTCCCATCTAGCATTGAATATGGCAAGTAGACGCATCTTTGCCTTGTCGCCTAATTGGGTTAACTCAGCGTGGCTGACACAATCAGGTCCAGGAGATGACGCCTTGTTCACCAGTGCTAAAAGGGTAAGACGTTTCATGATATTCAAAGGTACATCTACCTCAATGGTGCTTGGTGGCGTTGAAACTTGTCGTGATGCATGGGGTTAAGTTGCTAGAACCGCTACTGCAGTGATCTTAGAGCAGAAAGCCTCCGCCATGTCCAACTCGCTGCTGTTACGAGACAGAGGAACTGAGCTGAAGGGGTGCAGTTGGGTCGGTGGGGTTTTCAGGCTACAAATATTACTCCATATTTTTACGGCGGCTTTCTTGGGTCTAGTTTACAACATTGAAGCCACCATTGCCTCTTATGAAGCTTGTCAAAGTGACATTTCGTTTTTGCGTTCGCCTGGCATCACGGATGACATCTGCAGACAATGTCCTATAAGCATGTCTTTCAGATCGGCGACGAATAGCCCGCAGCCTCTCATACTCTTCGTCGACCGTTGAGTGAGTTTGAGGTGCTTCTACATGTTTAGTGCTGCTTTGTTTTGCTCGATTCATAGCAGCCACAAATTCCTCATACGTCATTTCAGATGGCTCTGCGACTTCGACTTCAACGTTATATACATCCCAGTTAGTGCTCCGAATCGTCCTTCACTTTGTGTTTAGCGCAGGATAGCCCAATGAGATGTAGGTGGGCACGTGGTCACTCCAATTACTTTAGATTTCAGCAAACCACGTCACCGTAGACATAAGGCAGCTGGAGATCATGGCGACGTCCAAGGCAATGCATCGGTCGTTCTTCAAGAAGGTTGGCCGCCAATCATTAAAAATCACCAGGTTGTTTCGATGTGCGATGCAAAAAAGGCGTCTACCGCGCACTGAAGTCCTCCTGCCGCCCCAGGCTAGGTGATGTGCATTAAAGTCCCCGGTTAGTATGTGAGGTCCAGGTGTTCCATCTATTGTGTCCGGCAGTCTGTCCACATAGAATGCAGTTCGAGGTGGTATGTATGCCACAATCACCGTAAATACTAATGTGTCCATCTACACTGTCACTGCAGCATATTCATTGGATGCGTCAGCTGATGCGTAGTGAACATGGAAAGTTAAATCATTCCAAGCAGCTAAAAGAACTCTACTGACATCCGTTCATGTCGATGAGATTGTGATGGTGTATCCTGAAGGACGTATGGCGGTGCGCACTCGGGACTCTGAGATGGCGATCATTTGGAAAGTGGTGCTTGTATACAAATTGTCTGGAGTTAGAAACACGATACCGGAGATTACAGGCTTTCCGATGAAATTTGGTTTACTTTTCTCTAATGTTCTTCAGACTGGGTAGCTGGGCCGTTAACGCCATTGTGCCAGAACAGGAGACATAAAATCAAGCAGTGTCAATATAGACTTAGCTAACGGGGAGTAATCGGAGCGAGGAAGCTGCGCACAGCGTTCACATGTGCATATAGCAATGATTATATATGTTTCCATTGTCTTGTAGAGCGCCGTACTCGCGTGGTCCATGCGAAGAAGTTGGTGCCCGCGAATCGTTCTACTGGCCAGACGTGGGCTCCTGAGCACTTCGTGTGGAAGGAGCTGGATCTTATGGACGTGTCGGTAGAGACGGGAACTCAGTTGTGTCGTCGACCCGTGGCGGAATTGCTTATGTTCGTTCGTCAGCTGTGGGCATCATTGCTTGGCCACCACTTCGAGGTTTCTGTTAATGGCGTACCGCATCCTTTGCCATTCGGTACCCAACGTTGTTTTTCATCTTGTAGTTGTGGATGCGCTCCTCTTTGCGAAGAATTGGGCAGTTAGTGGACGTATACTTATGTACAGGCACAGTGTTCACGCCACCGCAGCGTCAACACCGTGCCTTTAACCAGCAGGCACCAGCAACATGACCGAAACGCTGACACTTGGTGCACTGTCTCGGAGCCTCAATGCACTTGTACTCTCGGTATCATATATAGCCTCAGATTACGTGTTCAGGAGCACTTTTCGTGATGAACACAATGTGGACGTTTTCTGACGCTGCCAGTCACCTTACAGATCCGACGGGTGCTCTTTGCAGAAGTGCATCAAGGTCTACTGGGACTCCATTGGTGACACCTACTTCGCAGTTGCTTGGTCGTGGCTCGAAGGCTTGTACAAGTGCTTCGACAATGCTTGAGATTTTCAGTAGACATTCGGAAGCGTTTGCTTTACGGTTATCTACAGCCAGAAGATTCAGACGTTCATTTGGCCGTACTCGCAGTACTCCATCTGGAGCTGCTTCTTCGAAGGCTGCTTTCAACACAAGTGGATTGAAGCGTGTGATTACAAGCTCTATGTTTTTTTTTCAATATGATGGTCAAGTTCAGCTGTGTTTTCTGCTGGCAGAAAGTTAGGTGGTATGAGCGACCTCTTCGATCCACGGCAGCGTTTGTTCGGTTGTACATAACATCTTTCTCTGAGTCATTGGAAGAAGGCGCGGTAGCATCCATGTATGTAATATTGGCAGAGGATTCAGACATGTCAGAAAAGTCATCACCTAGACCCTCAGGCAGATTTATGTTGAGGCAGGAGACGCACTCCATGGGAGGGCCTTGGCCAGGTGGTAGCGAGATATTTGCGGAATAAGGAGTACAACCCTGACCTGTAGCCGATGGAAGCTTCTGTCCTGCGCCAGGGGTTGTACCGACGCTATTTGCCACCACTTTCATTTGATGTGCTTTGTCTGGCGTGTTACCGAGATGAAGCTCAGGAGGCTTCGACGGGTGCGGTCTCTGGGGCACCGCACCCCTTGCTGGGACCATGTCCGACGCTCAGAAATTCAGTGTGCTATAGGAAGTGCAGCGAGGCGCATAAAATAAGAAAAACTGCACGAAGACGAGCGAAGCAACACAGCCACCACGCCCTCTCTTGAAGTTCGTTTTACTGCGCTATTTCCTGATTCAGACTTTTCAAGCAAGTTGCAAATAATTTCAACTTATTAGATAATACACCTTGAAAAATTTAGCATGAAAATCAATGCATTGGAATTAAAAGCCGTGCATGGCGCACACATCAGCGTGTCCGTTTGCTCCTGACATTGTGGGTCTTACGAACTACAACTACGCCACATGGACTCAGAGGCGTAATGACCAGGAAAACTTGGATGTGGAAATATGAACTCTACACATGTATATTGCGGTTGTATTTTCGCAACACGCAATGTGCATAAGCGTGTCCTAAATATTGCGCCTCAAAACACCAAGAAATATAAGAATCAGTAGCGTACTACTGACGATGCACATTTTTCTTTGTCTGTGTTCTTCACTTGCGGAGAACGCACTTGTCCACTTTTCTACGCAAGGGCTCCTGTATATCCGTAGGCTGTAACCACGTCAATGAAGGTGGGCCCGATCACACTAGTATTTGCTTTGTATCCTACGCAGCTATGTCGCTCGCATAGACGCCGGGTGGTTTGCGGAAGGATTCTAGAAATTGTAATTAAGGTCCCACACTGTACTGCGGACGGGAGAACCTACATAGCTCCTTGAGGTATTCACCTTGAAAAGAAGCCTATCGGCGTCATCAAAACCAGAGTGGTCTTAACCATACGCCAATCAGCCACGGTGTAGTACTAAATTCTTATGATTCTCGGAGGGTATTTTTAAATAACCCAAGTGGATTCTATTCAGCCGTGGTGTGGTGCTATAATATTGTGACCTCGGGTGGGTACTTTGAAATTATTAAAATGGGCCCTTGAGTAACCACGAAACAGCAAACATTTTCCTAAAATGGCTAAACGCCTCACTAGCGGTAGTTTTGCGCCACTTAGCGTCCATTGTTCAGAAGTCTTCATTTATTGTCCCCCTTTTTTGCCATGTTCGTCTGCTAACTTGTCGTGCAGTTTACAGCGATCGCGATTTTCGAGATACGGAATAGTCCACCCGTCCGGGCATTCTCTGTAGAAGGTATCGAAGCAGACGCTCTCGTCTATGCCTTTGGCGTTGTCTGGCCCCCAGAGTGAGCACTTTGGTGGACCTGCAGAAACAACAGCACACACAGTGAAACTAGAAGATTTCGCACAAAACCTGAACACGAAATAATTGCAGTGCTGCACTTTAAAGACGATAGTCTTTCTTGAGATTTTCAAACTCAAAAATGTTGGTATATCTATCTATCTATCTATCTATCTATCTATCTATCTATCTATCTATCTATCTATCTATCTATCTATCTGTCTGTCTGTCTGTCTGTCTGTCTATCTATCTATCTATGTATCTATCTATCTATCTATCTATCTATCTGTTTATCTATCTATCTATCTATTTATCTATCTATCTATCTATCTATCTATCTGTCTGTCTGTCTGTCTGTCTGTCTGTCTGTCTATCTATCTATCTATCTATCTATCTATCTATCTATCTATATATATATCTATCTATCTATCTATCTATCTATCTATCTATCTGTCTGTCTGTCTGTCTGTCTGTCTGTCTGTCTGTCTGTCTGTCTGTCTGTCTGTCTGTCTGTCTGTCTGTCTGTCTGTCTATCTATCTATCTATCTATCTATCTATCTATCTATCTATCTATCTATCTATCTATCTATCTATCTGTCTGTCTGTCTCTCTGTCTGTCTGTCTGTCTGCCTGTCTGTCTGTCTATCTATCTATCTATCTATCGGTCTATCTATCTATCTATCTATTTGCCTGTCTGTCTGTCTGTCTGTCTGTCAATTCAGCCACCCGGTGAAAGTTTGAGCCCTTTCTTAACGTCCGCCCATATTCATCTCGTGGCTGCGTTCGCACTTGTGAACATTGTCAATCCAGAAGCCAATAATACGCATATTTGACATGCAACATGAATACGTGAGTATAGAGTAGTGTGTCTTTTCGTTTGAAATACGCATAGATACGTAATTTTAATGACCGCAGTGTGTATTACGCTGAGCTGCCATTGCGGCGCAGGCATTCTATTGTCATTGCATTACAGGCATTCCATTAAAATATGGTTGCCTTTACTCTAACATATCCATTGCTAAATAGAGTTTAGGGTGGGAAACTTTGGAAATGTGATAGAAGAAGTTAAGATTAAGAATGTTTCATCACATATTTCATTCCAAAACAGGTACAGATAGAGATAATTACATATTTCGACTGCGTTACATGTCATCAATACTTGAACATTCTAACAAAGTTAGAGAAAACAAATGCAAAACTTAGTCGTTTAACAACATAATTTTCCCCGCACAATTTCGCAATGAAATCATCGTACTAATAAAGTTACCATCCTCACCTCTAACTCTGCCTTTTGCTTTTTGTTATGATGTTATGTGCACTTTAATTTTTTTGTCATCATTAACTTTTGAGTGTGGAGTCCAATGCCTGATGCATTGTTATCTTTTTTCTGTTGTGTTACAAGACCAGTAAATATGTATTTATTACCCATTATGTATTGTGTAACCCCTCTCCTCTGTAATGTCTTTTGGCGCTGAGGGTACTTTGATAAATGAAGAAATCAACTAAAAAGCTGGTGTTTCCTACGTTTTGCTAAAACGGTAGAGTGCTGGCACCTACCAGCTGCTCTGCGCTCTCAAAACACTTTCGTTTTGGGACATTGCTGCAGGATGTCTTCCGTATCTTACGCAGTGCCCCATTGCCCTCTGAATCCTTACACAGCTGTCGGCCCCACATTCAGAAGGAGTCTGGAAACAGCCGATACGGATACCCGGCCACCGCGGAGTTAGAGGCAATGAGCTTACCCATGCTTTGGTGAGAGAATTACTCTTCCGGACCTCCGATCTCGGCATATCGCATACACCCTCAGCTCTGCGTATGGACCCGCTTCACACCTATACAGAAATTTTGCAACAACAAACACTCGAAGGACAGAAACCTCCACCCCCAGGGCTGAACCTCAGTAAGGAATCACAGGTAGCGTGACGTCACCTACAGAGCCTGTCCTACCCCAATCCGTACATACTGTCAAAGATTGATCCCGACGCACACACATATCACAGTGCACATTCTGCGCCAATAAAACAGCTACCTTGTACCTCATGTCATGGGAGTGTCCACACAATCCACCTTTGCAGCCCAGGACACAACACAACATGAGAGGGTGGGAGGCAGCTCTCTCCAGCTCATACCTGAAGAACAAAGAGGCCCTAGTGAAACGTGCAAGGGCTGCGGTCCGCGCCAATGGGATGCTGGACTAAGAATCCCCCCCTCACCAATATACTCTTGCAGAAAATCTTAATAAACATTTTATTTTCTCTCCAGACAGAAGACTGTCGTCTTTCGACGTCCTTTTCAAAAAGCACGCACATATGAGCCAAATTTTTGATTACTGGTTACTTACAATACAAACGCTAGGCACTGATCGTAGACATTTTACCCGTGCTATCAATTTAACGAACAACTATTGCGTGTGAGTGAAACCCGGGACTGAGTTTCATATTTATTCCCACATTACATGACGATGAAGGTGGTGTTCCTTCACATAAGGCTTGTAGCCGCACTGAAACATTGTCCAAGAATCGTTCGAATGAAATTTTATAGTCGTGAAATATTAACTAATCATTTAACATACCAGCCTTCGTATATATACTTCATCAGGAAATAAATTCTGTAAATTCTCCAACGTGGTGGTATGTTTATGAAAAGGAAAACTGATAATTCTCCAATTGCCACGCAAACCTGCCTTAGAAGCATGCCGGCCTTCTGAAAATAAAGTATCATAGTTGTCGAAAACTTTGCCTTGCTAAGCATGAATTTCTTTTTGGCTTTACGCTGTAGAGTGGTAATTCTGAATTTTGCACTTTGTCCGCCTCAGCTGTAGTCACCTGCACGGCTCCCTCGTCTGTGTAGCTTCTGCTCTGCTAGAGTAGCTGGCTTCATACGAATGGATGGCGGGTGTTCTGGATAACACATTATTTATATGGGTGTCACTTTAGTTCTAACAGCGAAGTTGTTTAGCAAAGCATTCCTTGTTCCCCAAATGAAGAAAAAAGTATTATATTCATATACAGGAACGCGCCACAGAACTTCCGCAAATCCCACTACTTACGAGTCTTTCAGCAAATTGGTATATGTCTTAGAAATCTTTGCAGCCTACTAGAAAAAAACTACCATATCATAAAAGGCTATGTGCCACAAAAGTTGGTTGAATTCTCTGGCACATTGCGTCTGCCCAAAATGAAAGAGGCAGGCAGTTAGCTCAACAAATGTCTCAAATCAAAAGTTAGCTCAACAAACCAAACACCCCGGAATGTTCAAAGTGAGAGTATACAAGGACACGGGAAAGGCAACGGGGGGTGCGCGAGAACTGCCCGGAACGTTTGAAGGCCTACGCCAATGACGTGCCTGTATCCTGTCATGTCTATGATTTAACTCGAACCTCTTTCGCACTCAAAATCTGGAATGAAACAACCTAGAATCACCTACCCCTAGGAATGAACTATAAGTAACCCAGAAAGAACCTTCGTCACATAGCTTAAGGGAAGAAAAAACCTGGAAAAAGGCAGGTTAGTCTTTAGAATCGCTTAGTTTCACGGCCCGAAGGCTTGCACGACTTCGTGTAAGCTCAAAACAGAGAACTGCAGATAAGACCTATAGGAACACTTCATTGAGGCAATGATCATTTTCCTCAAGGCAAGATTGACCCTGCTTCATTATATGAGCGATACACTCGCCACCGCAGCACCTTAATTTTGCCTAATGAAACATTTGTGCTAAGCTAGCTTCTTACGAAGAAAAAGAACTGATCTTTAGACAAATTGGCAGTGATTTGTCATTCGCTGTGCAGTACTAGACACGGACCAAAAAGAGACCAAAGCAACACGAGCACAAACTCACAATTGTTTTTTTTTCAAAAAAAAAGAACGACACCTAATTACCTCGTCGTCTCAAGCACACCTGGTAGTGACTAAACACGTGGGCATATAGGGATGGCATAGGAGCTATCGATCACACATTGTCATATCAACCACAAAAACCACGGTCAGAAGCTTTATTCGCACGGGCGGCACAAGAAGCCGAATCCCTTGTTTCACCAAGACACAAAAAATCAGCACTTATTAAGACGCGATAGCACGTGCAAGGTAATGGAAGTGATTTTGCAATATAGTTATGGCCCACGTTGCTTATTCCTAGTCAATTAAAGCCCTTGAAAGCTGGACACTATTATCTCACTGTACAAGTTATTTGTGAAGCACCTGAGCTTCCCCTTACAGGCAGGTAGTGAATGACTAAAACCGGTATAATTTACATTGAACCCTGACCCCACCTCACCCCAAGCACAACTGGGCACAGGCCACCACTTTTTGTCTACTTGAAACAAACACGTATCTCTCAACTGCCGCCTTCATCTCATATTCCCGGACGTGTACACAACCTCCGACTGCCAGTGCCGTGGCACTCACCCGGCTACTTTTCCGCATATGCTGTGGGAGTGTCCGGCACAGTACAGATACACTAATACCACGAACCTTATGTCGAAGCTCCATGAGGCTCTGCGGAGCACCGCTCTTGACGACTAAACCTGAGCGACACAGCACGCCCGTGAGGATGCATCGAGGCAAGCCCTTGACGTCCTTTCGTGGGAGGCCTAGGCCCGGCCACCTAAACCTGCTGATTTCCTACAATAAATTTTATTCCTCCTCCTCCTCTTTTCCAAAGTAAAGTGGCTCTGTTTGTATCTCATTCTTATAGCTGGCGCACTTCTGCTATTGCCTTGTTAAGAAGAGCAGGTCTCGAATGTCTACAAAAGAGGCACCGACGAGACCGATTAAAATTCATGCATCTGCTATTGCACGACAAACTTGGTCATTGGTGTATCAGCCGGGCGAGGGGGGCAAGGAAGGTGCGAGCCCCTCACTGAGAAAAGTTGGGGGGGCTGAGCCCACCCACTTTCGACAGTGTTCGTTTTTGACTGCACACTGGGGAAACCAACTAGTAAAGCGAAGTCTTCCGTCACAACAGCAATCACTCAATTATGTTCTCCCGGAAGAATGAAAATGTTATGAGGCAATGTTACAATAC